TGAACAGAGAGTGACCCTACACAGTCAAATGTGTGTGTGAGGGGCGTCCGCCTAGGCTGGTCAGTGAAGGGTTCTTTGAGGCAAAGCCATTTAAGCCCAGATCTGAAGAAAGAGACGGTGCCATGTAGAAAGAAGGGCGAGGAAATGAGGGAGGGGGACAATTGCTCCATGCCCAGAGGCCTGAGGCCTATCTCCATCTCTAAAAGAGATTGATGAGCAGCTTCTGGAATCTAGAACAAGCAAACAGACCCCTAGAGGTGCTTGAGCATTTGTACAGACAAGTGAGCTGAGGACATCCTGAGATGTGCTTCCTCCTGTGGCTCTCTCTTGACAATCTCAGACAACTAAGTTTTGTCCTTATCTTTGTCCTCCTAGCATGTTCATGGAACAGAGGGCTAAAAGGAGTTTGAACATCTAGGCCCTTGGCTGACCTCGTCCCCAGTTATCCTCCATACTCTTTTCTCCGTGAGCCCCTCTGCTTATTTATAATGCAGCAGCTTTAGAAACAAATGTAGGGCCCCTGTATGAAGTCTGGATGGAACACGGTGCCTTTTAAAACACCGGATTCTGTCTCGAGACTTTGTCTCAGAGCTTTACTTGTGTCCCCATCACCCACAAGTCATCCATCATCCTGTAACTTCCCAGTGACCGAGTTACAGTGAAATAAGTGTAAAGCTAGGAAAAGCATGCTGGCTGCGACTGCGACAGAGCTTCATGAGGAAAACAAACGGATCTGCTGATCTGCTGCTGGGCTTTTCCAGCTCGACATCATTAACCCTTTGACTTCATCCGCTGAACCTTGACTTTCCAAAAACTAAAGGGCCAGAGAGCTCCCTGTAAATGATGGCCACTGACATTAATAAACTCCAGAAATAGAGAAAACAGAACATTCCAGATCCCTAAATTGTAATTTTATTGCTCCAGAATGGTTTTTGTTAGCACTGTATCAAGGGAGGAAGAGATTCACATTTCTATCATTGTACTTGCTTCAAGGAGTATAATCCTGATAGAGTTTGCATTCAAGGTCAAGCCGTGTTTGTAAAAGTGCATTGTTTATCTTAGACATCATTGCCATCTTAATTGCTGATGTCCTGGGACAGAGTCTCATGGAGCATGTTAGGTCTGTGGGTCATGGAGTCCCTTTGAGTGTCCACATCAATAACAGCTCTCTGGGTGTGTGCAGTATTTCCTCTTTCCATAACTTGTGGTATAACCTCTCATGGGTTTCATTTTAGGGTGACCCTGGATCATCTGCTGCAGGAATTAAGGTAACTATAGGCATGCAAGTGTTTGTACCACAGGGATCACAGTTTTGATTTTCGAAGCCTCTACTTTCTCTCCCCTGTTACCCACATTGACGGTTATTGTTCTGTTCCTGTTTACCTCCATAACCAGCTTCCAAACACAACAGGGATATTTGTGGGAAATACAATGAAGTTTAAATAAGTGGGCTTGACTTCTCTTCCCTTTCTGAATGGTTTTATGAAATGTGGATTTACATTAAATCAGTCTACTTGTGATCAAGACTTGTGACCAAGAAGGAGCTTGGGCCATCTCTGTGAACGTGCCTAGAGGCCTAAAGTTTTTAGAATATTCTTGTAAGACTGCTCTTTTCACCTTTGGTTTCCAGGGAGAACCTGGAGAATCTGGTCGTCCAGGGCAAAAGGTAATATCTCTATCTTCCAGTGTGTTCTTTGTATAATTATGATTCATTATATGACATGAAAATGATTATTGCAAAATGATGTAGTGTTCATGCTTTGCATACAGAGTGTTATTGGTTGGTGTGCGTTTTATTTTATTTTTCTATTTTTTGTGTGTGTGTTGCTGAGAATTGACCCCAGAGTGAGCCTTTTGCATGCTAAGCAAGTGCTCTACCACTGAGCTACATGCTAA